GTGCAGCGTGTGTTGTTTGATCATGTCTATGTTAAAATGTTGTGCAGTGTGTGTTGTTTGACCCTGTTGATGTTAAAATGTTGTGTAGCGTGTGTTGTTTGACCCTGTTGATGATAAAATGTTGTGTAGCGTGTGTTGTTTGACCCTGTTGATGATAAAATGTTGTGTAGCGTGTGTTGTTTGACCCTGTTGATGATAAAATGTTGTGTAGCGTGTGTTGGATGGAACGTACCAGCTTGTGTCTCTGTGCCAGCTCAGCAGTGCTGGTGTTTGCAGCCTGGGCGGCTCTCAGCCGGTCCTGGACCAGCCTGGTGTTGGGTGTGACTGCTGGACTCACAGGAGTCCTGTGGGTCAAGGCGGGGCCCCTGGACACCGAGGCGGGGCCCCTGGTCGGGGCCATGTGCTCTTTGCGCTCCTGGCAGCGCTCTCCGAAGCGTTCCAGAAAAGACTTCACACCTTAGGAGGTGATGATAGACAACACAGTGTCATCTGAACGAACAGAACCTGAACACTAATCCTTTAGAGACCAGACTCACCAGGACCTTTAGCTGTGGCCTGCTGGGCCATGGMGGGCTTGTCACACAGCTCTGGTTTTGAGGGGCTGGGGATGTGCTGAAGACCTGTGGAGACAGCTGGACTCTTCAGGGGACCTGGAGGCTCTGCTGGTTTCTGTGGAACAGCTGTGAAGACTGACTGACTGCAGGTCTTCTGAGGACTGTGCACAGAGTCAAGTGCACGTTTGGAGGCAGGAACTGRAGCCTCCTGAGGGCTTGGGACCACCAGACCATGAGGTTTTCCTGGAGAACGCAGAGACCCCTAAAGATAAACAGATGACAGAGTCCATTTATACACATTTACTTCCTGTTTCTGACAGGATTTCTGTCTGTAAACATTAGAAATATTAACCATGTTTACATCCAGTTTTAATGCTAATTTTGAGCAAATGTTTAAAATGTTGAAAAAAAAGAGAAAATGTGAATCAGACATGTTTGGAGTGAATCAACCAGGTTACACAAAGTAATTACATCAGACGCTGACGTTACACATGGCTAAACAGGAAATAAAGTCARAACTAAACATCTCAGGACAATAAAGAGAAGCTATCAGGAKAGTTGTAATTATTCTGTCATATCAACTATTGGTGATGTTACTGCTGTCTGCAGACGGACAGAAAGAAATGCAATAGTCTATATGCCACGGTCATTAATGACGTATTTCTAGTAAAATTCTTGCCACGCTCCTCCCTTCCACTTCCTGCTTACTGCCTGTGTTTTTAGCGTTAGCTGCTAGTACAACTCCGTGAAAAAGTCACAAAAGTTAATCTGTGATCTACTGGTATAAAACGTGAGTTCTGTTGTGTGTCGTTGTGTCCACAAACCAGCAGGTACAATAGAGT